TTTTTTTTTTTTTTGAGATGGAGTCTTGCTCTGTTGCCCAAGCTGGAGTGTGCAGTTGTGTGATCTTGGCTCACTGCAACCTCCATCTCCTGATTCAAGCAATTCTCCTGCCTCAGCCTCCCAAGCAGCTAATTTTTGTATTTTTAGTAGAAACAGAATTTCACCATGTTGGCCAGGCTGGTCTCAAACTCCTGACCTCAGGTAATTCACCCGCCTCAGCCTCCCAAAGTGCTGGGATTATAGGCTTGAGCCACCACACCCAGCTGCAGTTTTTAAACTTTTTATTTTCTTCCTCAAGAGAATGAGAAGAAAAGTCAAATGTAAGCTTTAGAAGTCTTGCCCAATGGCCAGTCTGGAAATATTCTCCATAAACATTCACCAGAAGTGGCCAGTGACCATGGGTTCCTTTTGGTGAGAGGAATTGATGGGGTCAGGAATGGGAGGAAAGCATATTTCTCATTAGATACCTTGCTGAACTTTGTAAATTGTTTGCCAAATTTGTTTCTTACCTAGACTATATAAATTAAATAATTTCTTTAAAAATAATTGACAAAATTTTTTAGAGGCTTAATTGATGCTGATTATAAGACATCCAGTAGAAATATGAGGCTTTAAAAGTGGGGACTGGCCAGGCGCAGTGCCTCATGCCTATAATCCCAACACTTTGAGAATCTGAGACAGGAAGATTGCTTGAGCCTAGATATTTGAGACTAGCAAGGGCAATATAGTGAGACCCTATCTTTAAAAAAAGAAAAATTTGCTGGGTATGGTGGTGCGTGTGCCTGTAGTCCCAGCTACTTGTCAGGTTGAGGTGGGAAGATCACTTGAACCCAGGAGGGTTGCAGTGAGGAGTGATGGCACTACTGCACTCCAGCCTGGGTGACAGAGCCTGTCCCAAAATCAATAAATAAAAGAATGACACCAGAGAGATACAGTTCGGTGGTCATGACCATGGCTTGTCTAGTTGAATCTACTGGAGTGGATTGTGTGTCTACAATGCCTTGCCCTGTATGTCAGTAATGAATCACTGGCCACGTGACTTCCCTGAGGCGGGTTGGTAGGGAATGTTAAGAATATCATGTGAAAATACTGGAGTCATTCTAGGTGTGAGGCTTTACAACATTGACCCAATGCAATGATTTTCTGAGTTTTGCATTGTTTAAAAGCTATTTCCCAGTGTAAAACCTAAATTTCTACTCCTGAAAAGTTTAAAAAGCAAGTTTCTTGAGGTTTCCCCAGCAAAATAATAAGACTTAAACACAAAATTTTGAAAAGATGAAGGTAAATTAATCAAGAACAGACGTTATATTTTTCTTGAGATTCATGTGGGTTTGAAAGGGAACGCTGCCTGACCAATAGGTTTTGTGTTTAGCTCAACAATGAGAACAGGATCATCGGAAGACATTTAGCCAGGCACTAAATGGAGCTGGCCTTGGCCATTTGGGCAGAAGTTTAATCCTTGATGTTATTTTTCTACTTCGCTAGAAAGTCCCGTGGAAGGAAAAGCCACACGGGGAGGTTTCATCATATTTATGTTTAGATCTTCTGGGTCCCCAGCAGGATAATGTCATTGGCTTCTGGGAACTGCCCTTCTTAGCCAAAATGCCCACATTAAATGTGAAAGCAGGGCAACTTACACAGTCCTCCTTCACCAGCTCTGAACTGGTAGAGGAGGAAGTTCTCTATGTGGTACTCTCTCAACAGTCTTCAGAGTCAGCTCCCACAATACACTGATATTCTTCAAGATAAACCAGTTGGGGATAATGAAAAGAATATCAGATTCAGAATCAGAATATTTAGCTCTATTAATTTTATTAATAGCTGTGTAACCATTATAACTATGCTATACGCTATCATGCTATTTTGGGCAAAATTTTCTTGTTTTTCTTCTTGTTTTTTTTTTTGGTTTGTTTTGTTTTTTTGAGACAAGGTCTTTCTTTGTTGCCTGGGCTGGAGTACAGTGTCACAGTCATGATCATAGCTGACTGCAGCCACAGCCTCCAATTCCTGGGTTCCCACAATCCTCCTACCTCAGCCTCCCGAAGTGCTGGGATTACAGGCAGGAGCCACCATTCCCAACTTCTATGCTTTTAAGAAATAAAATATTTAATTATATATAATATAGAATATATAAGTTGAATATATAGAATAATTGTAAAATAAATACCCTCATACCCAGCTTCCACCTTAAGAAACAGATTATTACCAAAAACTGTTGCAACCTTCTGTGTTCTTATTTTCAACTTCATTCTCCCAAAACATTTCTTCCAGGTGTCATTATCTTATTATATTAATCATTCTCTTTCACTACTGAAAAAGTATTCCTAAATGGCATTTTATCATATGTTATTTTGTTTTGTATGGTTTTGAACCTTGTTTAAAAACAATTAAAATTTATGAATTTCTTCCTGCAATTTTCCTGTCTCACTAAGGGTCATCCACATTGATCATACAGATAGAGCACGTCTTCACCACTATACAGCATCATTTTGTGCAAATAAACTATGATTAACATATTCTGTACTTATATCTGTTTGTTTGTTTTGAGTTTGTTTTGCTAGGAAAAGCGATGTCATTACATATATTCATGCCCATAGCTATAGGTTTTCTGTAGGGTGGACACCAGGGAGTTGAATTGTTCAACAGGACTGTACATGCATCTTGAATTTTACTGGCCAACACCAATTTGTTCTTCACAATGTTTGAACTATGTTGAAATTCCACCCCCCATCACATTTAATGTTGTTAACTTCATTTCTTCATTCACTCATTCATTCAGTCAGTCTTTTATTTATTTGTTTGTTGCCAGTCCAGTGGGTGTATAATGGTGCTTCATCATGGTTTTACTTTGCATTTCTCTGATTTCCTTTTTTAATTTTTTAAAAATTATTTTTATACAGAAACAGGGTCTCACTACATTGCCCAGGCTTCTCTTGAACTCCTGGCTTCAAATGATCCTCCACCTTGACCCTTCAAAGTAACAAGATTGATTATAGGCATGTGTCACTGTGCCCAGCTGATTGCCCTGATTTCTGATGAGTAAACAATCTCCTCTCTTTCTCTCTCTCTCTCTCTCTCTATGTGTGTGTGTGTGTGCATGTGTGTGTGTATATGGTTACTCTTCATTCATGCCTATTTTCTGTAAAATAAGTGTCTTTCCTCATTTTTTTTTTTTTTTTTGAGACAGAGTCTCGCTCTGTTGCCCAGGCTGGGGTGCAGTGGAGCGATCTCAGCTCACCACAACTTCCACCTCCTGGGTTGGTTCAAGCAATTCTCCTGCTTCAGCCTCCCAAGTAGCTGCGACTACAGGTGCATGCCACCATGCCCAGCTAATTTTTGTATTTTTAGTAGAGATGGGGTTTCATTATATTGGCTAGGCTGGTCTTGAACTCCTGACCTTGTGATCAGCCCACTTCAGCCTCCTAAAGTGCTAGAATTACAGGCTTGAGCCACTGCTCCCAGCCGTCTTTCCCCATTTTTATATTAATTAGGCTTTTACCTTACTTGTTGATTTTGTATAAGTTTTTTGTACAATCTGGAGCCTGATTTTTGTTAATTATGTGTGTTGTAAATGTTACAGTTCATCGTATGCCTTTTGAAAGTAAAAGTTCTTAATTTAAATATCGTCAACCTATCAATCATTTGTAAAAGTTTGTGGTTTAAGAGGCCATACATAAGAAATTATTCCACCATCATGTCATAAATACTTTTTTTTTTTTTTTTTTGTGACAGATCTTTGCTCTGTTGCCCAGGCTAAAGTGCTTGATCTCGGCTTGATCTCTGCTCACTGCAAACTCTACCTCCTGGGTTCAGTGATTCTCCTGCTTCAGCCTCCTAAATAGCTGGGATTATAAGTGTGTGCCACCACACTAGACTAATTTTTGTATTTTTAGTAGAGACAGATTTTCACTCTGTTGGCTAGGCCGATCTCAAACTCCTTATCTCAAGCAATCTGCCTGCCTCGGCCTCCCAAAGTTCTGGGATTATAGGTGTGAACTGCCATGTCTGGGCCATAAATACATTTGTATGTATTTTCTTCTAAAGTTTTGTCTTTCACTTTTAAGTTATTAATTCATATATAATCACCACTTACTATTTATAATTATCTGTAAGTAGTATGAGATAAGAAATAAATTCTATGCCCCTCCTACAGATAAGCACAAACCTGCAGTATTAGCACAGTCCTATGTCAGATTTTCTAAAATGAATGTGTGTGTTTTCTACGCTCTCTGTTCTGTTTCATCTGTCTTTCCCTGCAACAATATCATCTACCTTAAAAACTCTAGCTTCGAAGTATTCCTCAGTTTCAAGTAGAGCAAGCCCTGTTGAATCAGCTAGCCAAGTTCCATTTTAAAAATCTATGTTGGAGCTGGGTGTAGTGGCTCACACCTGTAATCCCAGCACTTTGGGAGGTCAAGGCGGGCGGATCACTTGAGGTCAGGAGTTTAAGACCAACCCGGTAAACATGGCAAAACCCCATCCCTACTAAAAATACAAAAATTAGCTGGGCATTGGGCTCCTGAATTCTAGCTACTTGGGAGGCTCAGGCAGGAGCATTGCTTGAACTTGGCAGGCAGAGGTTGCAGTGAGCCAAGATCACACCACTGCACTCCAGCCTGGGTGACAGAGCAAGACTCCATCTCCAAAAATAAAATAAAAATTTCAGATTGGAAATTTTGCTCAGATTTTATTAAATGTCTACATTAATTTGGAGAAAAATGACATGATTTTGATATTCTATTTAATATTTCTGTATTATGAATAAGTCAAATAGGCAGAGAATGGTATAACATAATAACTAAAATTCCTGGGTGAACTACCTCAAATCATTTCTTCATATTGCTGGATATTCTTCTGTTGTCATATGGTCTGAAATACTAGAGAACTCTTCTCTTCAATATATTTCTTCTTTTAGATATTCATATTGAGTTTTCCTGCCTATGAACATGGTATTAGAGAATATATCTCTTTGGGAGGCCAAGGTGGGTGGATCACCTGAGGTCAGGAGTTTGAAACAAGCCTTGCCAATGTGGCAAAATCCCATCTCTGCTAAAAACACAAAGATTAACTGGACATGGTGATGCATGCCTATAGTCCCAGCTACTTGAGAGACTTAGGCAGGAGAATTGCTTGAATCCAGGAGGTGGAGGTTGCAGTGAGCCAAGACCGTGCCACTGCACTCCAGCCTGGGCAACAGAGTAAGACTCTGTCTCAAAAAAAATAAATAAATTTAAAAACAAGACTATATCCTTTAATTTACTAGTTTTTCTTCAGTTTCTTTCAAGCTAAGAGGCTTACCTATCTTCTGCTTTATTCATAGTTACTTGATATTTTTGTTTCTCATTAATACAGTGTCTTTCAATTTAACTGCCTCTTACCTATTCATTGCCAATTTAAAAAATGATATTGATATTTGAATATTAACCTTAAACCTAGCACCTTGGTAAACACTATTATCCATTATAATAATTATCAGTAGATTATATGTGTTTTTTATTTATAAATTATATTGTTTGAGTAGAATGCTTTGTTTCTTCATTTATAAAATTAACAATTCTTATTTCTTTTTAATTTTTTTTCTTATTGTCCTGGCTAGGACCTCTAACACAGTATTGAGTGGAAGTGCTGATCCTTGTTTAGTTTCACATTTAAAAAAATTGTTTTTAATACTTTACTGTTAAGTATAATATATACCATAGGCTTTTCTGTGGTTTCTTTTTATCCATTTAAGAACATTATTCCTAATTAGCTGAACTTTTCTGCATGTCTGTTTTAATCATGAATGGATTTTTTACTTCTATTGAAATTGTTTTACATAAAATATATTTTACCCCTGTTGAAATGATTATTTCACTTTACCTCCTTTAATATGTTAAGTTGGGCAAAATATTAAAGTATTACCAGTCATTCTGCTTCAGCAAAAAGCGGTAGTTTCATATCAGCTTTGGTGAAAATACAGCATCAAATAAGTAAGACATAGAAATAGGACCCAGTAAAAATCTTGCGCATAGGGCATTGTCACATGTGAGCAGGCCGGCTGTGGCTCGACGGAGGAGCATCTGGAGGCTGAAGGAAGACGTGAGTCACCAGGATCAGGAGAACTTCAGAGAAATTAGGGAGCAAGAAAAAGAAATAGGAGCAAAGGCTATTTGTGATGGTAGAAAAACGAAGTTGATGGTATGGAGATATTATTATTTAGGTCTCACATCAAAGATGTAGATACATAGATAGCCTGATTGATTGATATCTCAGAAACAGACAAAGACAGAGACCTCAGTAAGATAGACATATGCCAGGTGACAGAATTCAGAGGTCTTACTATGAAAACAATAGAACAACCTTCAAAAGTTGATGAAAAGAAATTTAGTACAAATAAGAGGGCAGGTTTCCTTACATTACAATTTAATAAACTGGAAGAATCGATTATACCTGAACATTGGAATAGATAAAAAATAGCTGTTTCTATTACCAAAGGCAGCTAAACATGAAGCTAAGTGAACCTGTCTCTGACCTAGTGTGGCAATCCCTGGGCAAGGGACACTTGCTCCGCTCCTGTGTCCTTTGCGGAATATTCAGACCTTCAATTGCGCATCGATGAATTTAGTTTTCATCTCTTGTGAAAGCCTTGAGAGAGGTGATTCTGTCTGCTTTTCTTCTCTTCCCTTCCCTCATTTTCTCAAACATCGCCTGTTTAAAATATTAAATTTTTACAGGTGGCCTTGATCTCTTTTTAGCTGTTATTTTAAGTACAAATAGAAAAGGCCAACATATGGCATAGTTTAGAAGTTCTGGGAGCACCCATGAGGCGAACTGCAGAAGGGAACATTCTATCCCTCTTCTGCTGTAGCTTTCATTCCAGCTTTGGTGCATATCAGATAGAGAAGGAGCTCTGGGAGAGCAGCAGGGCCCAGGCACATGTAACCAATTGCTTTCTTTGCCTCTAATAAAGTTCACATTTTGATTGCTTCTCCAGATTATGTAGATCCAGACATATTTTATGCAGTCATCCGGATCTTTCTCTCTGGGTAAGTATAGTTCAGTTATTTTCCTGTGTGAGGTGCCTGTAGCATTGACTGAATGTACAAGGTGAGAAACAGACAGAAACTTCTTAGCCTAAGAAACATACCAACTGACCCTTGCTGGGATCCCTCTCAGATAAAAGAAGTAGGATACCATCTGCACGATAAATAACACTGAGGACTAAAGATTGAAGTTCAGAGTGATTGTCCCTAGGCAATTTAGATCCATTTGTATTCACTCTTCTTAGAATTCTAGCTCAATGACAGAAGGAGAAGAAAAACGCAGTATGTCACTCACACAGTTCTATCACTTACATATATCTACTTTTTCCTCTTGTTATGAAGGCATGTAGAGGGGTGAATAGTGAAGTACAGGGTTGGACAGCATAGACTCTCCTTCTAAAGTTCCTGGATGAACTAGACTGTGGTTTGAATGAATGTGTCCCTCCACAATTCATATGTTAAAAACTAATTGTGACAGGCCCGTATTCGAAGGTGGGGCCTATGGGAGGTGATTATGTCTCCTGTGAGAGGAGAAAACAACCCCCATGAATGGAATTAATGCCCTTATAAAGGGCTGGAGGGAACTCCCCTGGCCCGTTTTACCCTTTTCCCTTCCATTCCTTGTCCTTTCCACTATGTGAGGACAGGAGTTGAGGACATTGGAAGTGGAGACCAGGCCCTCACCAGATACTGCACTTACCAGCATCTTGGTCTTGGACTTCCCAGCCTCCAGAACTGTGAGAAATAAATTTCTGTTATAGGTAGTCCCCAACTCAATACGGTTTCACATATGATTTTTTTGACTTTATGTTGGTTCAAAAGCATACATACTCAGTAGAAACTGCTCTGAGTGCCCATATGACCATTCTGTTTTTCACATTTGGTACAGTATTTAATAAATTCCATAGGATATTCAACACATTGACAGAAGATAAGCTTTGTGTTAGGTGATTTTGCCCAACTGTAAGCTAATGTAAGTGTTCTGAGCATGTTTAAGGGCAGCTAGGCTAAGCTATGGGGTCTAGTGGGCCAGGTATATTAAATGCATTTTTGCCCTGTGATATTTTCAGTTTACAACGGGTTTATCAGGACATAACCCATTGTGAGTTAAGGAACATCTATATTTACAAATTACCCAGTCTAATGTATTTGATTGTAGAAGCAGAAACAGACTAAGACACTACCCCAAACCATTTTTTTTTCATATTTCCGAGTATTCTTTTGTCATATGGCTTGAAATTTCTTCACATAGAGAATGCTACTTTTATTTTATTTTATTTTATTTTATTTTTGAGACAGAGTCTTGCTCTTGTCACCCAGGCTGGAGTGCAGAGGTAAAATCTCGGCTCACTGCAACCACTGCCTCTGGGTTCAAACAATTCTCCTGCCTCAGCCTCCCAAGTAGCTGGGATTAGAGGCAGCCACCACCAAGCCCGGCTAATTTTTGTATTTTTAGTAGAGACAGAGTTTTGCCATGTTGATCAGGCTGGTCTGGAACTCCTCACCTCAGGTGATCTGTCTGCCTTGGTCTCTCTAAGTGTTGGAATTACAAGCGTGAGCCACTGCGGCTGGCTGAGGACTCTACGTTTATATATATGCTTTGCTTAAACAGATGAACCATTCTTTCCTTGACATGTTTTAATCAGATTGCCTTCCTATTAACTTTGAAAAATTAAGTTTTTTATTTGTTTTTGTTCAATTTTTAAACAGTGAAAAATGAAAGGTAGAGAGGCAATGGATGGATGAGCTGAATATGTCAGATAGATACCATCTAGTGGGCCATTTTATTAACTGAGAGATCCCAAAGTGCTATCAATAGAAATAATCTGAAGAAGTGTCTGGATACAGCAAGAGACATGCAAATGCTAAACATCAATTACTGATATATTGCATTGGTGCAAGGACAGAGAAGCAACACATACTAAGTGTTTTCTTTAGATTGGGTGGGTCTGATGTGTGAAGCGCTTCAAATGGAGTCCAGCCTGGGAGGGAGTGGGAACGGAATCCTCCTTGTAAAGGGTGCAGAGTGGAAGCAAGACAGTTTCCAAGGTTGACAGTAATAGGTGCATGGTTTATGGGCGAAAGGGAAAACAAAAAGAAGGGTGCAGAAATGGAGCTGCTGGAAGTGTGCCTCAGAATTTAGACTTTCTCTGTAAACCTTTGATAGGATTAGAAAGAGAAAAATGGACCATTTTTTAAAAAGTTGCATGCTACCACATAGCAGACTTATACTACAGATGCAGAAAGGCTGGGATTTAGGAAGCACCCAATTCTGGAAAGTCCCTTTGTGCTTCACACTGCTCTCTAAATCTGTATGTTTTCTCTTGTTGCATAACAATTTACCATAAATTTAGCAGCTTAATACTGTACGCATTCATTGTTTCACAATTCTGTAAGTCAGAATCATAGGCAAGCTCAGCTGGGTTTTCTACTTAGGGTCTCAAAAGGCTGAAGTCAATTTATCTGTTGGGCTAGGCTTTTAACTGAAGATCTGGGGAAGAATTCCCTTCAAAACTCATTTAGGTTGCTGTCAGAATTCAGTGTTTTGTGGTTCTAGAGCTGAGATCTGTTTCCTTGCTGGCTGTAGGACAGGCGTTACTCCCAGCTTCTTGAGGCACCCAGTATTCCTTGT